AGCAATAATCTGAGAAGGCAAAAAGCTATCGTGAAATAATAAAATTTATGCTTTGACAGTCGACCGTCACCACAAAGTGACAGCTTTTTATTTCTTTATAATATATTGACAAGTCGATAACTTCTAAGGATGAAATTGCAACTCACCCCTCCCGATTGACTTTCAACTGGCTGCTCGAATAATCGAATCGTTTTGCACGTGCGACTTTTATCAATGAAAACAATGAACAGTTCGTCTGGTTTTCAGTTCTATACGTTTTAATCTTTTCACTGATTAAGTGTTGAACCTGCTCAGGCGCATGTCTTCAGAGATAACGAATGGAACTGTTTTTATAAACAGAATCATTAACAAAATAAGTCCTTTTACTAACAAGTATCAAAGCAAAATTCTGTCTAAAAGTTATCTTTCTGTGCCACTACTAGCCATTTTGCAATAAAAATTAGAGATCTTGAAAATTCAGAAATATGGAAATTTTAAAACAGAATAAATAACGACATGGAAAATGGAAGAACAAGGGCGCAAGATTACCTAAATTTTTCAAAACAGCTATCTAATTTTATCAAAAACATAACTTGCTAGATTTTAGAAATATATTACTTTCAAATGATTTCGAAAATTTCTTATTAGTTACTATTAATTGGCTGTCTCTTGGATCCTTGCACCCACTCTACTCTACAAGGACAGTCCTAAACAAATGTTTGATAGGGACCAAAGCGAGCGAAAGTTTGCTAATGTTTGAGGCAACCCTTCGTTTTGTAGTAAAGCAGCATACGCGATAAAGATAACGTTCTATGCAGATGCTTTTTGATTCGAAGACGGGGGATTGTCACTCAATAGAATGCTTTCTTTTGGTTTTATCCCTAACTTTGTACCATCAAATCTATAATATTGTAGCCATTAATTTACTAACTCGAGAATGAGATACCAATGCAGTATAAATGGCATCTCGAAGCTCCCTCAAAAATATGCCATAGACATCAGAAGATCAGTCATGCGGTTACGTTCCCACATCATCGAGAGCGAGTTGGGCTGTTGGTGCATCGGCGCAAATCGCTCAACCTACCTTAAAAGGGTTACTAGGGAAGTTATACATTAACCCCAAATATGATTGTTATTGGGAGGGAATAGACAGGAAAAGCCTCTTTTCCCCACCATAGAGCTCGAAGAGTTCTCTCCCATTCCTGACCCTAACCCTACAGTGGGAAACGTAGCCTCAAGAACACCATATCTACCAGCGATGGAAAATGCTTCCAAAGACGACGAAACCACGTTTTTATTCAGTCACTCGAAAGAGCGAGATTTCGAATATAAACCCTCTGCCTTAGAAAATACTTAGAAAGAAAGTAAGATGTTTTTGACCGGAAAACCTTAGCAGGTGCCATGATATTGATTTAGTCGCTCAAGAAACGGAGTGAGACTCACACACTCTTATCTTGCTCAACATGAGCAATAACAACATGCTTCTACTGGCTCAACATGAGGAAACACACTCCTTTAAAACTTGCTCTACGCGAGCAATGCACAATCAAAGAAAAATAGAAAGATATAGGAAAGCAAAAATTAAAACTTGCACAACACGAGCAACTCAATTACTCAAAAATTTGCTCATCCCGAGCCAAATTACAATAAATGAAAAGTAATGCAGTAAAACTTTCACCTTGCTCAACACGAGCAAACACACTCATTAAAACTAGCTCTACACGAGCCAACACATCCACTCAAACCTGCTCAACATGAGCAATGCACAATCATAGAATGATGTAAAAATACTAAATCAATAATCTAAATCGTAGCGACACCCACACGAAAACTATGCAGAGTGTAATTTCCTTTAAAGCCACATTGCTCTAAACACATTTTTAGCCTACCAAATAAGTGGCTCTTAGTTAGAGGAGAAAAATTGTCAAGCACAAACAAGGGGCCCCCACTATTACCCTGAGACCATAGATAAGACATTAAGGCTTCAACTGGACAAATAATTGAATCTGACCGGGAAAGTACTAGAGTACACCCCTTACCAAACTGGTCTGTCTTAGAAAAACGAAGACTTAGAAAAACGGTTTGGGGATAAAATGCCCTGTCAATCGATAAATCAGCTAAAGCCAGATATCTACCTCTAGCTAAATTCTCCTTGGAAGTTGTGAATTCCGCCGAACGAAGGAAACCAAACAAGGCGGTACAGCAAGCAGCCCAAAACATCCTATCATTAAATTTACCAAAATCAAGGCTAGACTTAATCCCGGCTAAAATTACGGGGGGGGGGGAGGGGATAGGTAGCTTAGAGATCTTAGACCTAGATTGAGACCTGGCTGCCCCTTTGAGCACCATGGGTATTCGACAAGAGGCAAGCAAAGGGTCTGAGTATCCATGCATAATATGGAGTGACCTTATGGCGGATAAATAAACACGAACAGTCGAAGGTTGACACCTATCATTCAAGAAACCAATAAAACGGAGAATAGTCAATTCAGAAGCAGGCAGAGGAGAACCATTACTGTTCAAAAAATTGAACTGAAAAAAAAAACGTAAGGAAACGTTTCTGCGCACAACAATACGTTTTCTGAGTGGAATTGGCTAGTGACTTTTTTAAAAGAGATTTTTAAAAGCCATTTTTCATCCAAGGAGGAAACAGCACTTGTGTCAGTGAATCCAAAGGAACTTTCTGTCTGCGCATCGTTTTTGTTGCTGATTCTAGAAACTCCTTGAATTTGAAACGTGATAAGGCGTCAGCTTGAGCATTTTGTGAGCCTTTGATATGAGAGCTTGTGAATGAAAAAACCAACAAAATTGCGGAAATAGATAGCTCCCTTAATAGGTAGGCCAGATGACGACCCTTACATGAACCTCTCCGTAAACATGTCACAACAGCCAAATTATCACTCTTAAACTCAACAATTTTCTGCTTCCAATTGGAGCCCCAAATAAGCGCAGCAAGAACAATAGGTACCAATTCTTTGACAGCAATGCTTAAAGAATCAGCACCCTCAGGCCATTCACCAGTGAACCATTCGTTATTGTAAAATGAACCGAAGCCAAGACTACCAGCAGCATCAGATGTGACAAAAATATTTGGAGCAACTTCGTAACCATTAAACTGAAATAAACTGCGACCATTCCATTTGTCAAATAAAGCATTCCACCAATTTAAATCATATCTTTCCCATGTGGTAAGATGAATAAAATGCCGCAACTCAAAAACAGAATGAGCACGATCAATTAGACGACGTGAAAATACTCTGCTCAACAGGATATTGAAGAAGGCCAACTAAAGACAAAAGTTGTCTTCTCGTACCTGATTTGCGATTTTTCCAAAACTCTAGTAATGACTTAACTTTCTTAATCTTTTTGGCGGGCAAAGAAATTTCCATCTTAATAGAATCAATCTCGAAACCAAGATAAGTTAAGCCAGTGGCGGGGCCTTCAGTTTTTTCTTCCGCCAACGGAACTCCAAGCAGATTGCAGACTGCAACACACTTGGTCAACTTATCCTTGCAATCAGTAGCACCAGGTTTTCAAAGAAAAAGAAAGTCATCCAAATAATGCTGCATAAAAGAAACTGATGTTTCGTTGATCAAAATATGCTGCAGAACATCCGCAAAACTAGAAAAAATCTTAGGAGCTGATCTGAGACCAAACGGCAAGGCACAATCTATATAAAATTTGTCGCGCCACTGCATGCCCAAAAACATCCTATCATGGTAAAAAACAGGCAGTTGTCTATAAGCTCTTCTACTGTCGAACTTTACCATAACAGTACCTTGGCCAAATTCTATGATTTTGGAAAAAGCATCGGAAATACCACAAAATTAAACATTCGTATGTTCATTAGGTATGTGACAGTTGACACTTTGGTGTTTAGGAAACGGAAAATCCGTAGTAAGTCGCCATTTTCCAGGTTCAGATTTTGGAATAACACCAAATCGATTTATCACTAAATTCTGCAAGGGGGTACATCAAAACAATTGAACCGAAAGCCATTTCATCACGTAAATAATTGTCAATAATTTCTGGTTGCGTTAAGGCTGAAGGGCAATTGCGAGATGCAGATTCCGGATGATCACCCACAAGACCTATAATAAAACCAATAGAGAGGCCTTGCAGGAGCCATTGACCAAGTTCATGAGGGAAACGAGACAAAAAAGAACGCCACGCGCAAATTTTCAAAGGAGTTATACACGAAGGATGCGGTAGCTCAACAGAAGAATTAAAAATGTTTTCATGAAATAGTCACTAATGCTTTTTGCTCTTGCCAGGCGGCGTAAACGGACCAAGCCTCCGACCAGTCCAAAAAGGAGCGGATGGGCTGTAAATCTGTGAACTTTTTACATCTAACTAGCTTAGATAGATGAGCACCAACTGGTTCCACTGTAGGCAAATGAATATGGTTGACGGCCTTAATAAAACAAATTCAATAAACAAGTCCTTGGCAACCAACTTTACTAAATAATCAGGAATAAGGGGAACTGCACCACAGATTGTAAGACCTGGTGAAGAAGCCTGTGTCATAAACAGCTGTGAGGTCACGCTTAACCAGTCCTTCGGCAAAACCAATGAAGGAGTTACAGAGGGGCAATTGCTATCGGAAAAATGGCTGCCAAGAAACTGACTAGAAGAACTTGGTCCTTGGCTGGCAAAATTTGCTGTCCCTGACGATGAAACAGCGATAAAAGGTGGAGCACTTGACGACAAACTAGGCACCGAATGAAAATTCAAACTCATACCTGAGTTCTGAGTTGACATGGATTGTAAACGAACAAGAGCTTTCCAAAGAAGACTCTGCTGCTCAGCCATGATAACAGCATTGAAAAATCTACCAAAATACAATAAAACAGCCTAGTTGAATTGTGGCTTCACCAAGCAAGATGAGACCCACGCTATGCCAAAACGTTAAATACCCCTAGATTAACCAAGGGAATAAAAACGCCACGAAACACACATCTAACCCTAGATTAACAAATCAAATTCTCAGGAGGCAGAAAACTCCCCGCATTGCCCTTAAACTAGTAGAGCAGGTACAAGGAAAAAACGCGAGGAAGCATGGCACAAGAAAACATAACGAATAAGTAATAACAATAATCTCAAGCGATCTAGTTAATGCTCAAAAGCCCCTCGTGAAATTAACTCTGATTAAATTTCATTTAATCATCATTTAGATTACCAATACCTAGCATGTACATTTTCTGCATTCATTCAACTGTTCCTTCTCCCGTGTAAGAAGAGTAGAGTACAAATTTAGTGTGACAAAATTGCGTTTTTTGAATTACACATTTGAAATTTACAAAAATAATGCTAAATTTAGAATCATCCTGTTTGAAAAAGTGGATAGCGCATGCGCAAATTAAAAAGAGTAGCCAAAATGTGTTTGAAAATGGAATATTAAACTGTGACTTCACAAAGGGATAAAAACGACTAAGAAAGCAAGATAAATCTAGGGACGTTGTTGCTTGAGGGCAGGGGGCACGTTTCCTTTATCATCTACCATATTTCGTATATGTTCGGCAAAAGAATTTTTGTAATTCATAGAAAAGAGAGAAAGTTCAAAGAAACAAATCAGGACAAGAAGATATAAACTGAGACAGTTTTCTGAAGACAGTAAAACAGGTGGTTATTTATTCTACAATCTGGCTATCCAAATTTATACATTTGTACAGGAAATCGCTAGCTTGCCTCGTTATTTTTACGCTATGCGTATATGTAATTCTAGATTTGTAAAATTAAAGTGCCCCATATTCTTTACTTACATAATTGCCAACTTAGATTGTAACCATTCAACTATTGGACTCCCTCCTGACTTTCTTAACAAATATTAAAATTATGCTAGAATGATGCTAGATTTCAAACTATGCCATATTTCATGTTAAAGGACAAGTTCTGGCCAAAATCATGCTTAAAGCATAATATTGTGCTAAATCTGGTAACACTGTACGAAGTTCAAACAGTTAATCGAATGCATTAAACAGACAGAATTCGAAAATTTCATTAAAGAGAAATACTTCATGCACCAAGTGATATTTAGAAAAAGAATCATCTTCTGACTTGACGAAAGAACTCAAAGTTATTAGGGGTAGAGTTGAATCATTGAACTTCTAAAGCCAGCTCTCTAAAACCGCAGCTCTGCTCAATTAACCATGATCATGAAATACATGAGCAAAAAGCAATAGGCCTGATTAACAAGCCTGATACGGAGAACGTTTCTCAAAGCAAACACAGTTATTTCGTTGAAAAACTTTTAAGTACAAACTGTCTTCAAATTTTACAATAGATTGAAAGTGGTACTGTTACTATGGGATACAAAAACCAAATTAACTGCATCATTTCAAATAACATGGAGCACTTTCAATATGAATTTAACAGACAATACTGGTAAAAATATAACACTGCCAAGTACTTGACTAGCTTATCTTAAGATTTATCTTTTCCAGCCTCCTCTGCAGATCTTGCTATAGCTTCAGCCAGCATTCGGTCCTCTTCTTCCTGCATTGGTTGATCTGGCTGTTTTTCCCCAGGCAAGCTGTCATGTTGATTCAATCGTGCAGTGGCTGGCAAATCCGCTTCAGCAAGGAAGGGTGTTTCGGTTCCAGTGGTACCGATATGAAGGATGTTGCGCTTCAAATCGATGCAGCACTAAAAAGGGGGCACCTGGTCAACAACAATGATCAGGCATACAGCTAGATTCTAGAACATTAACTTATAAGATATTTCTTTGGTCTTCAGAAACCTCTGAGTTTGTTCATCAAAGGTATACAGCTTATCTACAAACTAATATTGGTACACTCGAGCAGATTGTTGCAAATTAAACTTTATTGTGAAAGCACTGCCAAAATAAGCTCAGGCGGATGAACTTAAATGTTTACTTATAAACTCTATTGTGCTTTAAAGTACTATGACAACTGAGAAGGTCAAGTTGATGACTTGCAAGGCCTCGTTTTCGAAGATACATTGACTTGCCGAGAAACACCAGCTTTATCGATTGGTTTTCGAAATTATAAAATTATCTTTTGCAATAAAAAATCCAAGAAATTTCTTAAATAAGCATCAAATTTTGTCACAAGGTCTTTTCTACAAAAAAAATTAAAATAGTGCAATCTTCTTCTAATTCCCTTGAGTCGTGACAGAAAATATCATTATAATGGAGTCTCCTATTTCCTCCATCAAAGACACGGACCGATTTAATTAGGGATAAATGGAATCTCAACAGGAGCAGCAATTTATCTTTCCTTTCAAAGGCGGCCTGTCTGATTCGGCTAGATGTTGATAGCCAGAACTCGGTGACCCTGTGTCTTTTGGGATATTGTGTTTGTTACAGTTTCAATGACTTGTATAAAAAGGAACCAACTACACATAGGTGTGAATAAAAAAACCTAAAAATAGCAAAAAAGTTATGACTGGCTGATTTAACTGACCAATCAGTGCCCAGGAGCCCTCAGAAACCTCTAAACATATTTGGCACCTTAGAGGCACTATTTTCCAGCGCGTTTGAATTCCCATTCGTTGGACTATACTATAGACATATTTTTACGTATCTAGGCGGCAAAGAAAGACCAATTCTCAACATCTTCTCAGTGCAAAACGCGCTCCAGAACCTATTGTTAAACCTGACAGCTTACCGATGGGACAAAGTGCATCTAGCTAAGTATCAATACTTGATAAAGGTTTCAATTCAGATAGAAGTTATCGGCATCTTTCAAAAAAAATTTAAATTTCTTTTAGATATCTTTGAGACAATATAAATTGTGCAAAACTCTATTATTACGAAATTTTAAGATAATTGGCAGAGAGAGCCCGGTCGTCTTTTCATTAAGCAGTTTTAGAATCGATCTACATAAAAAAATGAAAAAGCCACAATTTTGTAGACAGAGGGAGTTCGTTTTCTCTCTTGGACTCCAGTTGTAATTTTTCTATAAGTGCGCGATACTGGGGTAAATGTACCAGTCATGTACTCAAGTTTTTTAGATTGGCCTATTTCGATCCACAACTAGGTATATATTTTCTCCTTGAACTCTTCGACCCTTAATCTGATGTTCTATAAACTGCCTCAGATGTTCTATAAGAGTGTCAAGCAAAAAGCTAAAGTCATGCTGCAAATCTTTCAAGATGGTTTATCTTGACAAGGGCGGCTCATTACTAAATGTAAAAGTTGAAAGACAAACCTGGTGTCTTTTTAACATGTCCAAACCAAGCAAAATATCCATTTGCTGATCTTCTAACACAGAAAATGACGTAGGTAAAAAGTCCTTCTCGATCTGCATCTGGCACATGTGAATACGGCCAAGTATCTTCTGTGTTCCAACACCAATGGCTGTACCAGCCCAACGGTGATCAATCAACCTCCTGACACCACATCTATCAGCACATTTTGAACTCATTATTGTCATTTGGGCACCTGAGTCCACAAACGCTTTAACGGGATGGCCATTCACAGAGCAATTTATGTACAACATAAAAACCTGCCCGAACGATTCCGGCTGATATTCCATAGCAGTCTCCATATTTGAGTTAATATTTTCCATTCTAATTTCTTCAGATATCTGACGTTGAATCTCAGGGTCAAAAGGATCACCTGAAAGCATTTTGACTCGGCCAGCTATACGTTCCATGTGCTCTTTTCGCTGCTGTTGAAGAACTTTTTCAAACTCTTCTAGGTTGCCACTAAGTAATGCATCTGCAAGACGTGGATTTCTTTCTTTCAAAAGAGCTAATTGATGTGGATTTGAAAGAAACAATTCCCTGATACTAGCTGGGTCTTCAGATGATCGTTGGCTGCCCTGCTGAGTTTTACTTTGAGCTGACGATGGCCTTGCAGTTGGTTTGGCATTACTTGAAGGTAGTCTTATTGCTCCCCAGTTGATTGTTGGCAGTCCTGTAGTGCTTCCTAGAATGGATTACAATGTAAAATCTTCTAATTTCCTTTGCTATAAAATTATTAGATAAAACATATTTTCGTTATATATAAAGAGAGTCATTGGTTTACAGTTTTCACAAAAAGTGCTTGTTGCCATAAAAACAGGGCTGTGCATGCTTTGGTATATAGAACAGAGAGGGTTCTAAGTTGCAAACCCAAGTTTAATGCTTAATTCGATCATCAGAAAACTGTTCACTGTACATAATCCTGAATAATAATTTAAGGCAGGGACAGAAAACCTAAAACCAGCAGGCCAATTCTTACTGGCCCTTGTTTCTTGCCCTTGAAAATTGAAAATTGAAAAAGTCTTTCAAAAATGAAAACTGCCTGTAAATATTTTTGATAATACATTGAATATTTTGTGAAGAATTAAATCTCCAGAAGCACTTATATTTAAAACCTCAGCTTTTATGGCAGTTGAAATTCATCAAAATAGAGCTCAATAGTTTATAGAGGTGCTACTGCATGTTTTTTAGTAGTTTTGAACCTGATTCTGTCAAGTAGCTAGCAAGACGCAATACCAGATGGCAAACCAGCATTGAACTTTATAAACAGCATTGAACTTTATCACTTCTGAACAGCTTTACAGGGAGGTTTCCATATTAATTGTAGTATGACAGATATGCAGGTCATAGAAACAGAGACAAAAATGGCTCAACCAGTAGCACAGGACAAGCTGAAATCAAAAGTACAGCTTGGGAAATTATCTTAATATTCTCGTTCAAAATGCAGAAGACTTGGAGCAAATATCTAATCCTTGGAGATTATGTGGTGAAGCAATAGGTTCGCCGTTTTATGTTGCCATGCAGTGATAGTTTTATACTGAAACCTATTTTCAATGTTGCTGACCCCTTTTGTGGCTAAACCCGCCCTTCCTGGGTCCAAAACATCATGAAAGTAAAAAGGGTGCCTGTCCAGAACCTAAGGTGTTAGTTACTGAAACCAACACGTATACCTGAAATGTGATATAAGGAAAACTCTAAAAATTGACGTAAGTCACAATTCTCTCAAAAACATATAAAAATAGTCATGAACATTTTGTAATGGGTGTGTTACAAAGTGTTTTATGCTATTAAGAGAGAATGGTTCCAAGTCCCATGAAGGGGTGGGGACAGTGGTGGCTCCAGCTACTGCAGAGTGGGAGGTTAATGGTTGTGGCCAGTGAGACTACGCGCCTTTTGCCTCGCTTCAGTGCTTTGTATCAGGTGAATTTTTCTAAGACAAATATATAATCTACCCCTATCTAGCACACTACAATAAATTTCTAGAAAAAACATGTGGACCATGTTTTGACAAAAGTGAGAGGATAGAAATCCCATACCTTCCCCCCTTGCTGCTACTCCTTGGGAAGAGGAATCCTACTTCTCTATACACAAGGACTGCTGACTCCAAACATTAAGCTGCAGATTGAACAATCTAGAATATCGGGCTTCAAAATTTTGATACCCAAAACATTGTGACATGTATTAACAACTGAACTATATATGTGATGATTCCATACCAGATTGCTGAGGTGAAGGTTGATTTGCCAGTTGCTGTGATCTTGGTTGTGATGGTAGAATAGGTTGATTTCTCACTAATAATAATACATCACCATTTTTCATGCCTAAAGATGCAATACTTTGCTTGTCTCCATGTAGTAATTTACCATCTTTATATAATTTCATAGCTGATGTTGCAACACCACTTTCAAATTCAAGCAGAGCCTTGAAATTCTCAAATTCTAACTCATCACTAGCATTTATAGTATAAATTTCATCATCACATGTTACTGTAAGCTGCATATTCTTTTGATACCCTATAGAAAGAAAAGATGTGTTTAGCAAATGACAATAAATGTACAGCAAGACATCTAAATATCCAAAAGACATCCAAAAAGACATCAAAAAAGACATCCAAAAAGACATCCAAAAAGACATCCAAAAAGACATCCAAAAAGACATCCAAAAAGACATCCAAAAAGACATCAAAAAAGACAATAGAAAAAGCTAGCAGTAAATTAAGATTTGCTCATTAGATTTTAATATGGAACACTTAATGTCTAACATTAAATGGTTTACCATAGGAGCTACAAGACAGAGATTTTGAAGAATGGAGCCAAAGGACAGCACCAATTCTACAAAGTTCCAAAAATTTAGTGCAACAGGGCATGAATCATATTTTTTTACCCTTTACCATGTAAGCCAGACTATTAAGTTCAGTTCACTGATCTATTGGAAAATGCACTAAGTTAAAACTATAGTTCCCACAGCAGAGCTGTCAAGTATATGTTTCAAGATGGGTGAGGGCTGCTGTTTTCTCTTGTTTCTATTGTAATTCTTATTGGAGTTGATTTCTTTAGAAACCGTCGTTTCTAAAAGACTGAACACTCCAAGAACAGGCTGAACACCCCAAGAACACCCCAAGAACACCCTAAGAACAAGCCATTAAGCCGCTGAACACCCTTTAAAACATATCAAAATCGGCATGTCATTCGAAAAATAATTTGATCAATCAATCAAAATTAATTTTGGGGCGGGAAAGGACCTGATAAGTCTAATGCTGTTGGTGTTGTTACAACCAACTGATGTTTTGCGCGCCAGAAG